ATTTAAAAAACAAACATGTTTCATTGATATATATGCAAAAATGAATGTTAGGAACTATATTTATCAAACATTATACTGGGCAAGTAAAAATTGTTTCTGGGCAAATGAAATGTGAGAGTCACTTGCCCAAAGGGCAAGTGGTAAAAATCCTTAATGTCAACCCCTGCTATATCTCTTCAGGTCGTACTTTCCTGGGACGCCCCAACAAGATGTACTTTGGAGCAGCTGCACGACCTGAGCATACTGAGCACACTGGGCTGCTGAACTCCACCTCCCAAGATCCCATCGTCACAGCAGCAACATCTATGCCCGCCTCACCTTCTTCTATCGGCCGGTACCAAGGCCTCGGCCACACGCCTGCCACTCACTCTATATCTGCACCTGCAGGTTTCAGGTCTTCATCCTGGGAGGACGACAGCGACTGTACTCCCCCTCAGCGGGGAAGCGACTAATAACAAGACAAAAACACTGTCAAATATATAAAACATAAATGTATGATAAAAACAAAATCAAAGTGAATGGATGAAGAAAAAAGGAGGATTTCTGATGTAAAAACCATAGTTGCTCAGAAAACTGGCATAATAAAAAAGATTCTCTGATGTAAATTTTTTTAAATTCCTATTTTTCTCTGAGACGGTGTAGTTTTGATCGATGTGTCAGATGGTGTGAAGAAAGGAAGCAGCTTGTTGTCTTGGTATTGTGCTCCCAGTGTATTTCAGAAAGCTTTAACGTCTGTTCTGATCACAATAAAAAAATTAAATAACAGAAACTGGAGCTGTGCTCTTGTTCCTAAAAACATCTGTCTGTCTGTCTGTAATGCACCGGCTCCTGCTTTGCTCCTGTTCAGCCCTCTTTTACTTTCTTTTTTCTTCCCAGCCGGTTCATCACTATTGCAAAGACAGAGCGGCTACTAGCTGATGAGATAAGATATTTAATTGTCCAGTTAATCTATATACATCTATATATAATAAAACACTATGCTTTCATGTATTATATTGTAAAAAAAGGAATACACACATATTTAAAATAAACACCTTTATGCACCAGCAATAAAACACCAATATACACATTGATTCTATATGCAGTCATAAATCCATTCATATATAGAACATTTTAAAATCTACTTTACTCCCTTAACCTTGGAGAAAACCATTTCAGTATTTCTTCATACAAAAAGGGTGACAGGTAAAGAACCACAGATTTGTTTTATTTAGTTTTTTTGTAATTAGGTTGACTAACACTAAATGTTTACAGTATATAATAAATGTTTCTACTTTTTTTCTTACATCATATTACTCCTGTATTTTTTCTTCTATAAAAACATGCACACATTAATCTATGAATGTCTCAAAATTAGAAATAAACTTGAACACTTTAATTTAATTAAGGTAAAAAGACCACATATATTTTTTTTAGCACTGGGCCACTTCTACAGGATTTGCAAGCAGGAGAAAGAGAGGGATTTTTCTTTTTTTTTTTTTTACATTATTAACGCCCATTTGCTTATGTATCAGGTTACAACATACCTACAGTTTATTTATATAGCACATTTAGGTAGCAAAACATATATATTTATAGTTCAATGGAAATAAAACCTATTTTACTGATACTTATTTTTAAATTCTATATTTTGAGTGATTTGTCTAAATCTTTCAGATGTAAATCACTTCAGATTTCAACATATGTAAAACAATTTGCATATGTAATACAATTTTCTATACCAAATACTGTTTTATTTGATGAAATAGATTATTTTTCTATTAAAAATTGTACACTTGTTTTATTTTTATTTTTTTATTAGCAGCTTACAGTCCTGTACATCTCCTAATGAAGATCCATTATCCAATCCTTGTACTAAAGTTGTCCTAAAAGGGTCAACAAGTATGCATTACACAATATATAGAAGTAGTAAGATTTTGAAAATAATAATAAGGGCAGAGTTGACATAGGGGGATTGTCTGATGTGATACTATAGAGGATAATCTATGACAACTCACCTCTGCTCAGTTTTTTTCCCTTTCTATTTATTTAGCCTTCGTTTAACAGAGCAGCTGAAGGTCAAAGAGTCACGTCATTTGTTTCCAGTTTGTCAGTGTTAGTTTTCATAGGGAAATTTGCTGTTTAAATCACCCTTCCTCTCAATGTAAAACAGTATGAAAACTAACGTCCTGAATGGCAAAACAAAGGTTAAGGTTAGACAAGAATCATGTTAACCCTTTACCTACGAGGCCAAAAATGCTTTAAGTCAGGGGTCTTCAACGTTTTCCAGGCCAAGGACCCCGAATCTGATGCCGAGATGCGGGGACCCCCTAATTATATATATTATATAAAATTGTATTATATCAAACTGGTCCTATAGTCACTCTCTTACAGATGGAGTAATGTAACGAAAGTACTTTTGCCCTGGGATTATTAAAGTATTTCTGATTCTGATTACTGGTTGATGGGTCAGGTGTTGTGAATGAAGCCCAGCCTAAAAGAGCTCCTGTGTGTCGCTGAATGTGAGCATTGATGACTGAAAGACATCTTCTGCCTCTATTTATTGTTGAATTCATGTTAATGTGTATTTAAAGACATTTCAATTAGTGGAAGAAATTGCAGGGGGGAATAAAAAACACAACAACGTTTTATCAACCAAAACTTTCCCGACCTCCATGCAGTACCTCCTTGGACCCTCTAGGGGTCGAGAACCCCTTGTTGAAGACCTCTGCTCTAAGTTTTAAATATTTTGGTTCTTTTACTCAATTTTCCAGGACCTGGTTGTGGTCCAATTTACATTATAATGAGTTGTCAGCAGGGAAGGGACCCCTCATAAAGTATGTAGTTGCACCCATGATAAAATTCTTTAACAAAACATTGATCTGCCTCTAGTCGGAGCTGTCGCTAGCATCGCCAGTTAGTTTGAGTCTTTATATAGACAAGGTCTTGTCTTGCTTGGAAACATGCAAATTGAAACCGACGAGCGGGTCGTTTTGTTCCATTGTTATATCTGAAAGCTCTCTATGATTCTGAAGGTCGGTCGCTGTTGGAAAACTATCCCAAAAATGGGAAACAGGGTCTATCTCTATCAGTATTGTTAATTGGTGGTGCTATAGAGCTGATTATTATAGTAAATGGTAAACGGCATGTACTTATATACTCCTTTTTTCAAGTCAGGAGACTTGACCAAAGCGCTTTACACTGCATTCATTCACCCATTCACACACACACTGATGGTGGCAAGCTACATTGTAGCCACAGCTGCCCTGGGGCTCACTGACAGAAGCGGGGCTGCCGTACACTGGCGCCACCGGGCCCTCTGACCACCATCAGTAGACAATGCAGGTGAAGTGTCTTGCCCAAGGACACAACGACAATGAATGTCGGAGCCTTCGATTTCAGGGCAAACTCCTACATCCAACGCCACTGTCGTCATTTTATTTGGTCCAACATAACCTTAGAGGCATTAATGCTGATACAGGCACAGACATTTTTTAGTTTATAAACCTAGGTCCTCTTTTATTCAGAATTTATATAAACTGGTGATTTTTATCCAGAGGACACAGTTCTTGATGGCACTGGAGACACTCCTACTTACGCCATTACACTTTTGCAGAGAGCATTAAAAGATCCCCTTAGAGTCTTGGGGAAATAAAATGGAGGTTCACACATTCAGGTATCTGAGCATTTTGAGGGTGGCTCCCTAAGTTTTAAACATGGAGAATGTGGAGAAGAAGGTTATTTGAAGCTGGGTTTTGGATGGAAAAAAGTTCTGTTTTTTATTTATTGGTAGAAAACAGCTTGTCAGTGGAGTTTTGTATATGGTTGCTTAACTTGCTTCTTCACAATTCTTGAGTTTTTCCTCTTTTCTGAGGTTCATTACAAACTGCAATAAGTAAACACACTATTGGTCTGGTGTGGCTGGTTAAAATAATACCCTTTGGTTGAGTTTTATTTATAAGGCATTACCTCGGCTGCTTATTGCTTAAATCTATTCTGCAACTAGACCGGGAAATGAAGCTTAAGCGTAAATTCAATCTGGAAGATTCTTATCAGCTTTACCTGAACCACCTGTGATGTCCCTTGTTCACCTCCAGCCAATCAGCTCAGGGGCCGCACCTTCTCCAAAGCCGCTCATCTTGCAAGGGCTCATCTTGCCCAGCTTCTCTCTCCCGAATGCAAATTAACTTTCACCCATCTCCTCCCTCATTGTCAGTCCCACTCATCCTCTTGCTTATTCCACCACCAGTGTCCGGGCCATGGGAAAGACTACTCTAATCCTTTTCTAGGTTACTCATCCAAGCAAATGTTGATTCACAGCATCTTCTGCCAGAGCTCCAAAGAACTTATTTAATTTATGTCTTTATCTGCTTCTATCTCCTTCAACCATAGTTTGCCTCAGCAGATGGCTGCTCACACTGAGCCTGGTTCTGCTGGAGGTTTCTTCCTGTTAAAAGGGAGTTTTCCCTCTCCACTGCCTTAGACAGAATTATTTAGACAGATTTATTTTGTCATTTTGTATACACGAGTGTATACAAAAAGAAATTTCATTTAAGACAGCTCTAGCCAATTTCATTTTTTCTTTAAGTGCAGCCTTGAAAACAGTAATAAATACATTTAAAAAGTAATATAAACATATGGCTGTATATTTACAGTCCTAACATTATAGTTTTATTTTTATAAATAAAATAACCCATTTTACACAACATTCAGAAGTCTAATGACAGTGGAAAAGAAACTGTTATGCAATCTGCTGGACCTGCATCAGATGCTACAAAGTCTCTTCCCCGAGGGCAGCAGGGAGTAGTCCATGGTGGGGGTGTGAGGGGTCATATTTGAGGTTACGGGCTCTGGACACGCAGCGCTGGGATGAAATGTCTTTTATGGAGGGAAGAGGAGCCCGAATGATCGTCTCTGATGTTCTCACCACTCTTCTCACCGTTTTCAAGTCTGAGGCGCTGCAGCCTCCACACCACACAGTGAGACAGCTGGTCAGAAATCTCACTATGGTGCTTCTGTAGAAGGTGATGAGGATGGGTGGGGGTTGGTGGGCTCTCCTCATCCTCCACAAGTACATGTGCTTCTGTGCCCTTTTGACCAGTGAGGTGGTGTTTACATTCCAGGCGAGGGTGTCTGTGATGTGAACCCCCAGGAATTTGGTGCCGTTGGCCACCTCTACAGCTGAGCTGTTGATGAACAGTGGAGCGCGGTTAGGCCGGTTCTTCCTGAAGTCCAAGATGATCTCATTTGTCTTCTCCCCGTTCAGGATCAGGCTGTTATCTTTGCACCAGTCCACCAGCTGCTCCACCTCCTCTCTGTAGTCCAGGTCGTTGTCGTCTCTGATTAAGCCGACCATCGTGGTGTCATCTGCAAACTTAACAATGTGATTGGTTGGGAACCTGGGAAAGCAGTCATTTGTCATCAGGGGAAACAGCAGGGGGCTTAGGATGCAGCCCTGAGGGGAGCCTGTGCTTAGGATGATGACATCAGAGGTGTTGTGTCTGACCCGGACTGTCTGAGGTCTGTTGGTGAGGAAGTCTACCAGCTATTTTTAAAGCATTGTATTGAAGCCCAGCTTTTCCAGTTTGCCCATCAGATGCTGTGGGATGATGGTGTTGAAAGCTGAACTTAAGTCCAGGAACAGCATCCGCACATGGGTGGTCTTCTCCTCCAGGTGTGCCAGGCTCAGGTGGAGAGCAGCAGAGATGGCGTCCTCAGTGGAGCGGTTCCGTCGGTAGGTGAACTGGAACAGGTTGA